AACCATCCCTTCCCCACTATAAATAGTGGAAGGACCCTCATTAATGAGTGGCTGGAACATTGGTTATTCACATTGAAAACTCCTCAAAAAGAAAAACACTTACCCCGAGCAATATTAATTGCAGAATTCTCCCATTACGCGAGAAGTAACTTCTACATTACGTGCATTCTACCTCCCGTATCTTTACTAACTTGATCGTCGGAGGCGAAGCTCCTACCCCCAGGAGTCTTCGTGATTTTGCAGGCACAGGCGTCGAAGGGCATTCTTGGAATTGTAACTCTCCCGCAGGACACATCAAAAACCCCGAAACAAGGGGTGTACACCGGTCCAAAACCGGACCGGATCTGGACCGGACCTGTTTGGACCGGGGACCTGAATTGGGTAATTATGAGGACCGGGGACCGGACCTGAATTAACAGGTCCGGTTCCGGGCCAGACCTGAAAAATCAGGTCCGGTCCGGGTTTGGACCTGAATGGACCTGTTTTGTGTCTTTTTCGTTTTTTTTTTTTTTAATACAAAACCTGTTGGACCTGCATATGGACCTGCATATGGACCTGTTTTGTGATTTTTAGACCTGTTGCATAATTTAATAATTACATACAAACCAAAATTATCAATTACAAAACTACATAAAGTCTATAAAGTCCCGATTCTCAAACACCAAAAATACAAATGAGTCCACCGAAAATACAAATAAGTCCACGAAAACTCATAAAATTACATAAATTCTCTTAAGTCTCAACTCTCAAGTACTAGGAATACATAAATTCTCCAACGAGTTGTTTTCCCTTTGATTGCGTGATTCACACTAATGAGTCCACGAAAACAACTTCATCGTCTACATCGTTAGATTCACCACGTTGCACCTCTAAATAAAATACAATATAGAATATATTAATGATTGATAACAATGAAATAATAAATTTGGTGTAACAAAATTTCAAATACATAAAATTATTACTACCTTTCTCTATTTCCTCTAACTCTTTCAAATTTTCTTCCACATCAACAATTGGCACTTCCTTAGCTCTAAGCCAATCTTGTGTGCAAAGTAACGCTTGAACCATCTTCAATACAAAAATATTACACAAATATGTATAAACAAAGTCATATTAAGATATAAACAAACTTGATTTTATAAAATAAAAAGATAACGATGCATTACCTTAGGAGTTAAAGAACTCCGAAATGGATCTAGAGTACGACCTCCCGTACTAAAAGCAGATTCCGATGCAACGGTCGACAATGGGATGGCTAGTATGTCATGTGCCATGCGATTAAGAATCAAATAACGCTGACCATTCTTACCCCACCATGTCAATGCATCTTGTTCTTCCTCCTCCGGCCCTAATTGATCATTTAAGTACCTATCCAACTCACTTATCGCATACCCACTTGTCCCCTTCAATCGTTTTGCTCTTTCTTTTAGTTTCCTCACATAATCGGAACCCACTCCTTTACTATTATCAATATCCATTGACATATTATCTCCACAATCTGGAATATTAGAAGTAGCATACATTTTTCTATATTCCTCAAATAAAGAGTAAGCGAACTCCTTCACATCATTAGCAAGTTTTGTACCCTTTTCCGGTCCATGCATATCCGTTAGTGTCAATTCAACAATGACCATCTTAGAGTGAGGGTCGAGAAGAAGAGCAACATAAATGAACTTATTCATCTTATCCACATCCCCCCAATACTTATCAAACTTTTTTTTCATTGCAATGGCCATGGCTTGAAAATTCAAGTCCTCACTTTGTTCCCAATTATTCAACATATCATACATAGAAGCAATTTCTCCTAAACCTTTATTAGCTGTCACATAATGGGAACCAGAAATTCGTTTAGTTAACAGATAAAACCCCCCTAGAAACAAAACCAACCTCTCCACTTTTTCCCAATCTTCGGGTTCGGGAGGCCTTTCATTGTCATTCAAATCCTCTCCATCAGGAAGAGATAACCCACTAAAAACACGTCGAAACTTCAAAGCCGTTTCCAACATTATGTATGTGGAGTTCCAACGAGTGGGGACATCAAAGGATAAAGAAGATTTTGAATCTATGTTCGCTTTTTGCACAAGATCTTTGAATCTAAGTATTCTTGCAGGGGAATTCTTAACATATTTCACAGCATTTCTAACTCTATCAATGCACACACCATGTTCTCTAATACCATCCCACACAATTAAATTAATGATATGAGCAATGCATCTAACATGAAGATTTTTTCCATCATTTATACATCCTGTTCTACTAACCATTCTACTCAAGTGTGCACAAGCAACATCATTTGAAGAAGCATTATCAACAGTGTTCAGAAAAAGAAGCAGACCGTTTGGATTGAGAGCTCTCCATCTACAATATAATTATATACAATATAAGTAATTTTAAAGTAACAATTATATACACATACCATTTTATAAAAAAATTTAAGAGCAACTTACATTGCAAGAATAAGAATCCGTGGTTCCTTGACTTCCTTCACTCCCTGCAAGAATAAAAACAAAAATAAGAACCCCTGAACTACACACAGGTTAGCCAACTTATTTAATCTTAATAATCTGAGTCCATACTTTTAGCAGCCTAGCAGGAATAAACACAAATTTTAAAGTATAAGTTAGCTTAAAAAGTGTCCATATATACACATTAGAAATATCAATACACATTAGAAATACTTTCAACTTTCTGAAATTTATGTTAAGAAAAAAATGAGAGAGGCATTGCCCACACAACACAACACAACACAACACAACCAACTTTCTGAAATTTATGTCAATACCCAGATCCACCACTGCCTGTCTGCCCACACAACACAATACAACCAGCTTCATTGGCAGCCCCACCCTTAGCCGCCTTCCCTGACACTCCAACCATGGAATCCACCCCACAAATTCCATTCCCGCCGGAATAACCTCACTCAACCACTCCAAAACCCCCTCCAATCCAAAACACCACCCAGCCACCCCGAAAACCCATCTCCACTCTCGGTGACCCTACCAGCCACCACGAAAACCCCATCTCCACTCCCGACAACCCCATCAACATTCACAATTTTCCATCCAGCCATCCCAAAAACCCCAGCTCACCACCCCAACCCACCCCACCCCACCCCACTGCCACCCCTTAACCCTTAACCCCCACACACCAGAACCGTACCACCGTAACCCCACCATAACCCCACCCCAACCCACCCTACCACACAAATTTTCGCACTAAATTAATCTTAATAATCATAATAAACACAAAATTTCGAACTAAATTTCGCACTTGAACCCTAAACCCTAAACTTCTTAATTCTTATGAACCCTAAACTCAAAAAAACCAAAAAAAAAAACAGAAATTCGAAAGAGATGAACTAAAAATAAGAAATTCAACATGCAAACATCAAACAATCATTAAAAGCAATTGAAAATTTGAAACAAGAATAAACATATAAATTCTCACACTTAATTTATTATTTCGAATTAAAAATACCAAAATTATAAGCAAATACTTACCAGATATTATCGGTGTGCATCGCCTGAGAGAATGAGGGAGGTGTCGGCAGTGGGCGGTGGCCGGAGCGAGTTGGGACAGCCGGACAGCCGCGTTGAGAAGTTGAGATTGAGGGAGGCTGAGAGTTTGGGCTTAGGGAGTTAGGGTTAGAACTTAAAAATATGAAAGAGATTGAGGGAGGCTGAGAGAATCAGATATTTTCTTTTTTTTTTTTTTTTTTTTTTTTTTTTTTATAATTACGATTTCCCGGGTTTCAGGTCCGGACCTGAAAACCCCGGGTTTGGACCGGGTCCGAACCGGCTTCGGGAACCTGGATTTTTAAGAACCGGGACCGGACCTGAATCAACAGGTCCGGGTCAGGTCCGGTCCGGTTCAGGTCGGTTCAAGTCCGGTTTCAGGTCCGGGCCAATTTTTGTACACCCCTAGTTTAGACACCCAATTCGAGCGACTTGCTCTCATTTATGGATGACGAAGTTGCGAGTCGAGTTTGAGAATGACTTGTAGCACGATGCAACACAGTTGAGCGGTTGAGCCGAAGAGGTGTGTATATGAGTGACACTCTTGTCTATTGGTAACAAAGGCCGATTTGGGCTTGTGATGACCGAACGAGTCTAGATGGATACAAGCGGATCTGTCCCCATATATGTATTTTGACTTTTGAGTGTCTCTAGGGGGTTTGGAGGCTCTAAAACATATGATGGCATATGTTAACAACAGCCGAAGCAATGGATAGGAGCTTCGATTGTAAGAGATCTATAAAGCTTATTGATTTCTAACACTCTGTCTTGACACTCGTCAACTTAGTTACACAAAAAAGAGAATAACCGGATTATGGCATTATGCTATATATTACCACGCATTACATCATCAACCAAATTTTGCTATAATGGGTAGATGGAATCCCCTTCCAATATAAAATGTATCTAACTCTTCTCTTCGATTTACAATTGTTCTCACCTATTTGCCTTATTTACTCAAAGATAAATTTTTACTTACAGTTGCACTACACCTAGTTGTTCATAATCCATCAATTCTAATATAGAAGCCCAAACATATGTGATAGTCTACTTTCAAAAGTACAATCTGCATGCACATAGTGTAGATGTGTCATTAGAGCCTTGAAGGTAGCTCATGAAATAAATCGAGTCTTGTTGAGTTCATGTCACAATTGCAGGCTATTAAGTTGAATCTCTAATCCAACTTACTAATTACAAGTCATATAACACAAGTTCATTCATCAAGCATACACATTAATCTTAACTCAACAAATTAACACAAATCTTTTGAATTAAGAAATAACTTTAAACGACTACAACTTACAAGCCATACTAAATATATACTCCGTACACAGAATATTAGCTTAACTAGTGAACCATTGTCATGTTGAATAGATTTCTAAAGTTCAAACAATAAATCAACCTATTTTTCTATGTCAAATCTACCAAATATTTAACGGATTTAAAAAATCCTAATTATATTAATCAAGCTAATTTTATATCAAATTCAAATTAATTACTATCGCGTCAACTTTTGTCACCTCTACGAGACAAGGTGCCGAGGATCGGAGCCATCAAAATCCTAAACATGGGCCGGAAAACGCAGCCTCTACAGGAATATTGGATATAGTACAGTACCTCACACTTCATTTTCAGTGCTATTACTACAAACCATAAATGGCGGTTTGGTCTCTGCGTCTTCCATTAACAACTTCATGGAGAAATGGCAGACTTAAACCCTTGTCATATCCATGGAATTTCTCTCTCTCCAACCATAATATTCATCTACTTGCTCATTTCTCTGCTACTTCATCATCACCTTCACTTTCTGCTTCTACTCAAACCCAAGAACCTCAAATTAAACCCCAGATTTCTCAAACTCATGAATCAATTGCTTCACCTTCGAAATGGGAGTCATTCCGGAAGAAGAAAGTGGTCATGCGAGTTGGGTATGTTGGTTCCAACTACAAAGGTCATTTCACCCTTTTCTCTCTCATCTTCTCTTTTTTTTATTCTTCAAAGTTAATCCAATTTTTCTGAAATTTGTTTCAATTTTGTTGTTTTTTCTGGGTTTAATTTAGGTTTGCAGAAGCAACGAGAAGATAATATTCCCAGTAAGTTTGTTTTGTGTCTTAATTTCCCTTTTGTTCTACATATATAAGTAAAAAAATTGTTTCAAGTTTTTCTAATTGTGTTTCTTGTTATGGAATTTATCCACTTTCAATGCATTTGGTTTAAGGGGTTTAGAGTAGAAACCATTACAATTTGATTCAAGACTTTCCCTTTAGTTTATTGCTTGTTTGCTACTTGTTGTTACTAGTTGCAATATTGTTGGGCGGATGGAATTTTGGGGTCATTTCGATTCATTAGTCACTACGAGCGCCCCGTGATCAGTGGAATGAGTGTGTGCTTGTTAATTACACTGCAATTGCTAGTAGCCTAGAACTGTCAAATATAGCTTTCTAAACTGCTGCATTTTCTCAATTTTAGCCATTGAAGAAGCTTTGGAAAATGCTCTTTACAAAGTAGGTGGCATCAATGAAACCAATTATGGTAACTTACATAAGATTGCCTGGGCCAGGAGTAGCCGAACTGATAAAGGAGTAAGCTAGAAATCTAGTATCAGCTTTAATGTCACTTCCCCAATGCAATGTTGGAATAATCTCAAGTTCCTTTTGCTGATTGTTGTTTCTAGGTTCATTCACTGGCCACGACGATATCTTTGAAATTGGAGATTCCTGATTATGCGTGGATGAATGACCCTAATGGTCTCGTTCTTGCAGACCATGTTAACTCTCATCTCCCTGAGGATATAAGAGTGTTTAGTATTTTACCTTCTCAAAGGTACTGTCATTCCCTTTTCACTGTTCTTCATAGCATCAAATATTTGGCTCAATCACTCTGCATTCTTTAAACATAATTTTTCTCATGTGTATGATTTTTGTTCATCTCATCTAACAATCTAGTTATAACTTCAATGCAATTAATACTTCTATGGAACAAACCCTTTGAGTGTGTATCTTTATTGAACACTATATATGGGGCAGCATCAATTCTATAGTCTTTTTTCCCTTTTGTCTTAACATTTTGAAGATGAATAGCCGTTCAATCTTAAAGTCTCTTCCTTGGTTGTGTGTATTTGGACAAGGAATTGTGGACTGTGGAGGGAGGAAGGAGTGACAAGAAAGTGATGAATCCATTTTCCCTTATTTAGATATTAATGGGGAAGGAAATCAGAGGGATTCATTTTCCTCCCCCTTTGAATAAACCATTTGGAAGATAAATGCAAGGGCAGTCCTTTTCACCCTTCATCTTACCTTCCCTTCCCTTCCCTTCCTCCGTTTCCCTCCTCACCCATGATGTAGTAAATTGTGGCATGGAACCGTTGAAAACAGGGGATGTGTCTGTTTAAGATTTTTTTTTCATTGTTTTTTAAATCCATGTGTTTACGTATGCAAAACTGCTAGGCAAGTGCATATGCATGTCAAACTAGACAACACATATCTCTCTCAACATAATTCAATCTCATTTGTTAGGAGCTTTGATCCTCGACGGGAATGTCATGTCCGAAATTATTCCTACCTTCTTCCAGCTGAAGTCATTGGAATAACAAGTGACTCCTCTTCTGCTGAAATTGACTGTCATATAAAAGACTTCAATGAAATTCTAAATATTTTTGAGGTATCTCTCTTTGTATCATATTTCTTTATAATCTATGACAATCAATTTCTTCATTTGCATTTGTGGCTCATGTTGAAGCCAAAAGTTAAATTTTGAATAAACTACATTTACCCTGTAATGAGTTATCATGTGAATATGATGGGTCTGCTCTTCCGTGTATAATTTCTTTCTTATTGTTAAGTACGTTAAGCCTATTGAGATTGTGAAATGGGTCTGGCAACCCAATAAGGAAGAAGTTTATTCCACTTGCTAGCCTATAGGAAGTTCCATCTTTAAACCGTTTGCCCGTTTGGTCATAGGAGTAACCTTTTTTTTTTTTTTTTTTTTTTTGAAAGATGGTCATAGAAGTAACTTATAAAGCCTATATTTTAACTTCTCTTCTCCTATATTAGACAACTCACATAAGGACAAAAAAGGGGTTACGACTTTCAACGGAGTAGGAGTGGTTCTGTTATTGTTGAGATTCTTTTATAATAATATATGTACGTTGTAATTACCTTTCTTGTCTAAATCCAAATGGTATACTCCAACTCCCCGTTCCCTCACTTTTGACCAGGGTGTGTGATGTTGTGTAAAGAAGTAGTTTTTAAATTTTAATTGAAATTATGGGAAATGGGTCAGGAGAGAAAATATCTAATGATTACGCTTGCCCCCACAGGAGGTAGTGGATGGGTGTGCCAATATGTCCCATGATTTTCCATTTAGATCCTCTGTGATGCACAAGTTCTAAAGCATTTCTGCTTGCCTATATTCCTTATGCATGCTACTACGGGTTTTTAGAAATTTACTTTGTAGTGGACTTTAAATGCCTTTTTGGTTTCTGTATATTGTATTACTGGTTTTATTGGCTGATTTACACAAGCTCTGTTAGTTCACTGTTTTTATATGCATTTTGCAGGGAGAATACCCTTTTCATAATTATACAGCCAGGTCTAAATATCGACGAAAGCCACTAAAAGGACTTGCAAATAGAAGATATAAAGTATCTGATAAGCCTCCCCTTTTGGAGGTTGAGGAAAACAATGCTGATTGTCAGAACTCAGTTGATAATGAAGATGCATTGTGTGATGAAGAACTTATCACTAATATGCCAGATGACGGTGATGTTGATGCGTTGTTTGACTCTGAAGATGGCCATGGTGATGAGTCAGAAAAGAATGATTCTACAGTAGTTATTAAGGCTCGATGGCTTCATGAACGTGATGAGGCGGACAAGCTCAGTTCTGCTCATTGGAGGAAGATATTTCAGTGTTCTTGTGGCAAGTTGGAGAGGTCACTTGAGATGGGTTTTGTCGAGCTCTCAATATGCGGGGAGTCTTTCATGCTGCATCAAGTAAGCCTCTATTAACTGCATGTATTTCCCTTAAGTTTCATGCTCTGATTAATTGCCTTTTACTTGTAGCATGCACCATGCTGAAAATGTTAGATATTATAGTGTTAAAAACTTGGGAAAATACTGTAGCTTATTTAGCTCATTGGTCTTCTGATTTCCAATTGACAAACTATGTGACTTATTTGTGTAGCATGATGCAGTGACTAGGTAGAGAGCTATCTTTTCTCCCTGATTTTTTGTTGATTGTGTAGACTAGATGTAGTTAAAGTAATGGTTATGTATTGACTTGATTTTTGGGGCTTATTCTACACTAACAAGTTTGCTGGTTCAAGGAAAGGTACAACTTCATGCAAGTTTATCCACTGGACCACAGCTTTTTTTCATTGGTTAGACTGGACTTGGTGGGTGGATGTCTTGTGTGCTGCTTTAGTAATACATATACTTTGTAATTTTTAAGTAGAATCCTTCTAGATAGTAATTTTCTTTTAGTATGATTTAATGCTATTATTTGATCTACATATCATAGCACTAGGCTACCTTTAAGTCATTTGTGTTCGAAACATAGGACCAACCTGATGCCTATAAATCGAGAATTATGTGGACTTGATTGTTGGTTCTTTGTTTGAGAAAATTTTCTTTAAGATACGTTCTGTGTGAGTGAGTGACTTCATTGGTATGAATTTATTGGTTTGGTTCCTTTGTTATATGTTCAATTTTGATTCCATTTTAGTTGTTTGGTACTTTCGTCAGTCTCACTATAAGCCTGTAAATTGGGCAGATCCGCAAAATGGTTGGCACTGCTATAGCAGTTAAGCGTGGATTGTTCCCCAGAGATATTCTCAAACTATCACTCAACAAGTTCTCAAGAATTGTCCTACCTCTTGCTCCATCAGAAGTTTTAGTTTTGAGAGGAAATGACTTTAGATTGAGGAAACAGCCTGGGAATAAGAAAAGGCCAGAGATGCGTATATTAGTTAATTCTGAAGAGATAAAAAATGTAGTAGATAAGTTCTATGTAACTGTACTGCTACCTCAAGTTGCTAAGTTTTTGGATCCTCATGAGTCTCCCTGGAAGGAATGGCTTGAGATTTTGGATGTGAATGCAAGTATACCTGAATCAGAGTTGGAGGAAGTCAGAAATGCCTGGAATGTGTGGAATGAAGAGTTTCAAAACAGGTTAAACAGGATAGTTTCTTTAGAGGTAACCTTTTTTTTTAAAAAAAAAAAATAAATAAATAAATTCATGAAATTTATTGCTACAGTATTTCTCAATTTTCTAATAACAGTCTTATATGAGATTTTATAGTTAATTTTAACAATAATGTTGACATTAATACGTTATGCTTATGACTGTATGAAATAAGGTTTTTATTATATATTATTAAATTCATTGCTATTTCTTGGTTTTCAAATGACTTCTAAGTTATAAATATATTTTAAGCTAATTTAACAACAATAATGGCATTATGACTGTATGAGTTTTTTGATATATTTATCTAACAACAATGATGACATTGTGACTGTATGAGTGTTTTGATATATTTATGGCCAAAGTTAACGAGTTTTGATCGCAACATAGCTCATTATCCTGTAATGGATGGGAAAGTTACGTTAGATTTTAGTGGAGATCTCTCTCAGTAATAGTAGAAGTTTATAGTTAGCTCTTAGCTGAGTCTGAAAATTTGATGTACTCACCAATATGGCATTTTTGATGTATGCTTACCTGCAGAAAACTGGAGCATTAGATGAATGATATGACATGAATATAACATCTCAAAATCTGACAAATCATGGGTGCTGGTCTATCAGGAGCTTTGATATGCATGAGCATCTTGCTGGCTGCAGGTTTTTTTTCTTCTGAATTTCATCTTCTTACCTAGCATATCTATTGCTCTTGCATTCAGCATTGTCTTCTGCTGCTAGGCTGTGCAAAGTGGTATATGGATTATAGCCAATTTATTGTATCTGAAGATTGGGATTTCCTCTTGTCTATATTTTTTCGATGAATGTCTATTATCACCTTAAATACTACTTGTCTGCTCAGTGTTCTTTTGCATACATTTAGATCACTGCTTCAAATCTTGTGGTGTCTTACAGACCTGTGTTTTTTGTTGCTTTGACATCTAAATATGTTTTTACTTGATCTCTGCATTACCATGTAAAATAAATCTGTCATATGAACAGATGCAATCGTTAATGAATTATGTTTGATTCTAGATTCTGTGTATATAAAATGACTAGGGCTACAGAGTGTACTTTTTGTGAGTGGTCATGCTGCATTAGCATTCTCCAGAAATCTCAGTAGTATTCCTGGCTAAAATTGCAAGTCTTCAAGCTTCTCAAACAGTTAAGATACTGTAAAACTTGTATACTGACTACTGAGGATGAGAAGTGACCAACTTCTTGTTCTTAGGGTCACTTGCATCTGACCAAAGTTCTACTGTAGCTTCAAAATTGTATTCAGTAAGTTGTGTTGCCACTTGCCAGTCTGCCACACAACATAATACTTGGAGAATCCTGCTTATCCTTGCTATTCAAGAGCTTTGAATTAGATTTTTGTCAGAGGAGTCAACCCTTCATCTGGGGAGAACCTAAATGATGTTCAGTTCTTATAGCTCAATTGCAAAATTAGTTTTAAGTACTACTTTTTTGATAAGTTTAATACACACCGACACACGTAACACATTTAAAGAAGGGATTGTAGAAGTAGGCTTCTCTTGCTTTAACTTTGCCAAATTAGTAGAGGAAACCCTTAGAATAATTGTCTGGTCCTTCTTCATCTATGCATCCTATGGGTCTTGATTAGCTATGAAATCAATATCATTAGATAGAAGGACCCTAACCACTACCCTAGACACAAAGCTATTGTCTGACCAATGATGAATATCTCATCTATTGCATTTTGCATGCATAGTTGTGAGACACTCCTTCCTATTTCCAATTTTTACTATATTTCATCTTATGCATATTTGCATATTATTACCATTCTCTAGCCCCCCTTTTCATCTGCCATTTCTTATTTTAAAGGTGAAGCTTATAGAATCTTACTTCTTTTCTCGTAACAAGATCAAAACAAAGAAGCATATGTAAAAATCCCCATTTTTAGGTGAAGCTTTCTTGAAGAAAGTTTTAACATGCTGTCTCCAAAAGGCCATTATGGTCATTTTAAAGGATTTGAGTTAAAATATACCATAATTGATCTTTACATTTCAAAGATTTACATCTTCACCATATCAATGTTGAAAGGGTGATATGGTAAAGTTTGTAATTAGTTAACTTAATCTAGAAAGTGACCTATTATTTAGCAACGGAAAATTCAACAGTAGCAAGCTAAGGTCTCTCTAGCATTAGCAAGCTTTATGCAACTTAATTTAAAACTTTTCATTTTCTAGTACAAGTATGATTCTAGTAAAACCTTGTTGGTACTTGGTACTAAATTGTGTTTAGTTAGTACTCTAATTAAAAACAATTTTTTTAATAAACGTGAATTTAAACTTGTATGGTATCTACTCCGTAGTTTTTTTGTTTTTTTTTTTTTTTTTTTTTTTTTGGTTGTTATATAGGGAGTGCCAACTAAGTACATTTTAGAGCCAACAAGATTTTACTAGTCATTAATGACTCGAGGTTGAGAAGCTCTCTACTAACCTAATTACATGATTAGAATTAATATGGAACAATTGGAGGAGTGTGTGTGTGTTCAATAAAATTAAAGGCTCCCACAACAGAAGTTATCATTGATAGGGACAATAGGGGCCTGCTGGACGGTTGTTGGCAAGAATTAATTCGGATAGAAAAAAAATTAATGGGCGGTCGAATTTCATTAGGCAATATTAGATGTTATCAATTACAGTGGCTGTTGGTTGTTATAAGTTAGAAAGAAGTAAAATCACTTGAATCTAAAAGCTAATTTCACTAAATTTAGCCACACTTTTTCTAACTTTTTTTAATACACTGCCTTTAAATTCCAAAATCTTTGTATTTTGAGTAATTTTTTACCAAAATCTCCACTAAAATCAGCTACACTTTTTCTAACTTTTCTAATACACTGCCTTTGAATTTCAAAGTCTTTGTAAGATGAGTAATAATTTACCGAACTTTATGTTTTAGTTTCAGAAAAAAGTTTTGATTGAGTTAAAATTCCATTTACTTGAAAAACTATTGCTGAATATGGTATGTAGTAGACTCGTAGAAAATACGAGTTTTTACAAAGACCATTCAACTTTCATATAGTCAATATTTTGTGTTTTCTTTTCTATCAAACAAATACGGAGTACAAAGTACGTAGTATTTTGTGGTTTCTAATCTATGATGGGCATGTAGGTATCATATGGATGCCCAATTGTGGTGTATTATGGATTCATGGTACATGCATAAATGATAAACAATTGTTTTCATGTAAAAGAATCATTTGTCTACAGCAGTACAACTTGTACAACCTATTTGGCGGCTTTTATGTTTGTTGGGCCCAACTTTTACTCTTTTAGGTCTTCCTTTTAACGTGTGGGCCTGTGGTCTTTTTGCATGTTGTCACTAAGACATCACACTGACGTTGGATACATCCAAGAGACCAAGAGGTCGACCTTGGGATGACTTTGAAATTTCTTTAACAAACAAACTTTCATAATTAAATTTTGTTACTTTTTCAAACTATTTTCTACTGCTAGTCTGAAAAGGTTACTAAATTAAACGATGTCTTAATTTTCATGTAGGTATGCTAGTGAGATTGGGGCTTAATTTGTTTTTTAAATTTATTATTTTGTTGAGGTAAGGAGGTCATGTCGAGCCGGAATCACTCATAAGTCAACCGACCCAGAATAGAATGGAAAATACCCCTTAGAAATGGGTGGAGAGGGGGGGGGGGTATAATGGAATCTCCACGCCCAATGAGTCCCCTTATACGGGATTTGATCCCACAATTTTTCCAAAAGCTTGGCAATGCGTGAGGCATATAGGAACATTTAGAAGCCTGTAGCCCTATGTTATAGTTCACATCAACAGTTGAAAGTAATCAATAATCTAAGGTTCTTCAGTTCATTCAAATAAATTCTTGGTATTTGATATAAATCTTTCTTTTATTGATAAGCCTACAATGATGTACCTCTTCAGAGAGATGATGTTAGGCTTTTAATTTCCTGGTCCAACCTTGTTGATATTGATTATGGCTGAAACATTCCTTTCATTATATTACTAAGTAGTTCAAACCTACTGTTTTTCCCCTTCCAAGGACATATACTCACTCATTTAATTTCTCTTCGACCCCTTTGTAATTTCTTTATTCCCTAGGCCGCCTCTAGTTCAGGAGACGACGGGAGTATTTTTTTTTTACTAGGATGTCTAAAGGGTAAAATGGAGAGGGGAGGGGGGTTTATGAACATCAAAACATTTCTATAAATTCTGGATTACAGAGTATTTCTAAATACAAATATGATCATTCAATTCCGTTGGACAACTAGAAAGGGAACAACCACAGAAAGGGAACAAGATACGTGGCTAGTTACAGGGTGTGGATTTAATTGCAAAAGGTCACATCAAAATGATTCCAAATTTGATTGAAATCACCTGAAGCTACTATGAAATTTTCAAATTAATTAAAATTTCCAATGGAATCAAGATGTAGCTCATTTGAACTTATTAGGGCTGATAGGATTAGAAGTTGCAGCCCCAGTGAAAGGTCCCCTTACTCCTCTAGTCCTCTAGTACACGAAAACACGACTACACAAGCACAAATGTGGAAAATGTCAATTTTGAGTGCAATAAATGGAAATAACCTCCTCCAAAGGTTTGTAATGCCTTGTTTCGTACGATCAACTCTGTTATATGAATGGTTCTTATGCCTTCTAATTCATTCTACATTTCTACTTCTCTTGGTCAATATGCCATTTCATCATTCTGTGTTAGACTATTATTGCTAAGTTTTTTTTCTAACTTGTTTGAACATCTGAGTATACGTAGTATGTGCTAATGTTATGTTGTTGTCAAGTCCTGGTCATTTACATAACAGTATGTGCACTTCTGTTTTTGGTCTTCGTCAATTTTAGATTTATCGTTTCTAGTCAGATGTATTTCCAGCTTTTTTTTATAGGTCTTTTCAAACTTCATAGAGAAAATTATTTTTCTTAACCCTCAAACTTAACGCATGGGAAGCTATTTTATTTTCTATGATGTTTTTGAAAATGTTGAAATGAATTATTTTCTTATATACTTTGGCAATGTAACACAACAATCGTTGACGAGGACCATATTAGCATAAAATAGACAAACGTGGACCTAAAATGACTGTGTTATTAATTAATTAATGTCCTTAAAAAAACTCTTTCTTCTACTCCGTACTACCAAGGGATTTATGTTCGAATAAATAAAAAAGAAAAAAAAGGGATTTATGTTCGAATAAATAAAAAAGAAAAAAAAGGGATTTATGTTTTTTAAATCGGTACTTTTGTCAATACATATTTAAGGGCATGTTCACATTTAGTAAGTTGCATTGAACTGATTGGAGTTGAACTAAACTGAACTAAATAGAGCTGAAATGAATATTTTATGAGAGAAGGAAATTAGAAACTAAACTATTAATAATATGCTTTAATTAGTTTGTACGAGTGAATGACATAGTGACTTGTACATCACTGGGGCAGATGCCCAATTTAATGTTGATTATGCCTCAGCTACCTACCTCCCTAAAGGCCAAAACACATTTTACAGGCTCCAGAACTTATTTTTGTGATGTTACCTGCTGCTCCTTGAATCCTTGTGAATTGATACTGTCTATTACGAGTACTATGTACAATGATATAACTTCGGTTGTTCAATTAGCTTAAGTAGGAAACTTGGAGGAACAATTTCTCGTCTTAGGTGTTGAATCAAAGAGGGTAAGTGATCCTAGATTATTGCACGTAGAGGGTCGCTTGTTTATTGTGATCCAATGTGAAGGTGTGCGTCGACATTTAGGACTGCAAATGATCTGAGTCGAGTTGGGTTTTAGTCTGTTCAAGCTAAGCTTGATAGGAAATATTAGTGTTTGAGCTATCTCGAGCTTTTAAAAATCCTGCTCAAGCTTAGCTTAGGATTTGACTTGTTTGAG